GGGCCCCCCGGGGGGTCCCCAGAGCAGGGGCCCCCCGGGGGGGCCCCTGCTCTGGGGGCCCCTTCTGGGGGCCCCCGTAGGGACGCCCCTGTTGGGGGCTCCCCAATGGGGGCCCCTCCTTGAGAGGCCCCCAGGGGGGCCCCTAAGAGGGCCCCGGAAGGGGGGCCCTCCTGGGGGCCCCCTAGGGGGCTCCCTGAATGGGGGGCCCTCTGGGGGGCCCCTGGGGGGGCCCCTAGGGTTTGGAGTTGTTGATTTTTGGTTTGTAGAATTTGTTGAATTAAAAGATCAATTAATTCGGAGGGTACGGGAAGAGATGCAGAAATGCATAAGTCTATAGCCTGAAGTAAATAAATAAATAAATAAATTAATTATTGATTAATTAATTAATTAATTAATAATAAGTAAGTAAATAAATAAATAAACGAATAAGTAAAAAAATAAATAAACGCAAAATAGAAAAATAAAAACGGGAAAAAAAGATTAAAAAGGGACAAAAAAGAATTCAAAAAATATTCAAAAGGAATTCAAAAATAATTTAAAAATTAGAAAGAGTTAAAAAAAGCAATTAAAAAAGAACTTTGAAAGAATTAAAAAAAGCATCAAAAGAATTAAAAATAGACAAAAAAGAAAATAAAAGCAGCAGCTTACAGGAAGAGTCAAGTTGCACTGCAGCAGCAGCAGCAGCGCGTCTTTGCTGCTGCCGCAGCTGGCGAGCAGCGCAGCAGCAGCAGCAACTTGCTGCTGCAGCTGCTTGCTGCCGCCCCCGCGTCTGCTGCTGCTGCTGCTGCTGCTGCTTTCTTTCAAAGACAAACAAATTCCTTTTAAAGAAATAATTAATTTCTTTTCCAAACAAAGTTTTAAAGCTTCTTCAAAAGCCCCAAAAGAATGCCACAGAGACACTGCGCGTTCGTAAGAACCTCTCTGCATGCAAATAAAAATAATGTAATTAATTAATTAATTAATTAATTAGTTAATTAATTAAAATAAATAATTATTTAATTAATCAACTAGTTTATTAATTAATTTTATTAATTAATTAATTAATTAATTAACAGATTAGTTAAGTAATTAGTTAGATGGATTAATTAATTGAATAATGCTTACGCGGACACAGAGCTGCGCTGCTGCTGCTGCTGCTGCTGCTGCTGCTGCGTCAGTTTTTGCTGCTGCTAGTGCAGCAGCAGCAATCATGCTTTCGATTTCTTCGTCGTTTGTTTCTTCGCACAATCTGAGGAGACAAAAATAATTAATTTGATTTAATTTAATTTAACTTAATTTAATTAAGTAATTCAATTAATTTAATTAATTCGATTCAATTTAATTAATTTAATTAGTTTAATTTGATTTAATTGGTTTAATCTTATTTAATTAATTTGATTTACCGTAACTAATTTATTAAATTGATTTAATTTAATTTGATTTAGTTAAAAGACCAAATTCATTTCTTTTAAAAGAAAATAAGATTATATTTCTTTCGAATTTTTATTTTTTATTTAAATGATTAAATGGATTAAAATAAATAAGAAGAAATAAAATAAATGAAATGAATGAAATAAATAAAATGAATAAAATAAATAAAATTTGAAATAAATTAAAAGTGAATATGAATTCCATTTTGGAACTGCGACTCACTGGATTGCGGTGTACATACACCTGGCCTGCAGCAGCACTTTTGCTGCTTCTTTTATTTTCTTTTTTTCTTTTAAATAAAAAGCAACAGCAGCAGCAGCAGCTTTGCTTTTGCTGCTGCTGACCAAAGCTGCTGCTGCTGCAGCATCGTCCTGCTGCAGCAGCAACTTTGCTGCTGCTGCCCAGCAGCAGCCTTTCTTGTACATCTCTATGGCTCTGGCCATTTTGCTGCTGCTGCTGCTGCTGCTGCTGCCGCTGCTGCTTTCCTTTTTTGTCTCATTTCCTTTTATTTCTTTTTGTGCTTCCTCTTCTAACATAGCGCCATACCAACTGAAAATAAAAATAAAAATAAAAAATAAGAATAAAAATAAAATTAAAAATGAAAATAAAAACAAAAATGAAACAAAACTGATAAAGTAAATAAAAATAAAATTTCTTTTTGTCTCTTTTTGATTTCTGTTATCTTTTTCTTTGCCAAATTTCTTTTTGTTCTTTTCGTTTCTTTTTCTTTTATTTTATTTAAAGATTTGCTTCCTTCCTCTTCCCTAAACCCGAACCTCTAAAACCGTAAACCCTAAACCCTAAACCCTTAACCCTAAACCCTAACCTTAGTACCCGAATCCCAGTGCTTAAACCTTAAACTCTAAACTGTAAACCCTAAACCCTAAAGCCTAAACCCTAAAGTCTAGACCCTGTATCCCATACCTTAATTTCTGAACGCTAAACCCTAAACCCTAAACCCTAAGCCCTAAACCCTAAACTCTTACGCGTAAAGTTTTTTGCTTTTGTACATTTCGACAATCTCATTAGCGCAATTCAATTCTTTTGCAATTTGAAGAACAGAATTATCTTCTAAAAGAATTTCTTTTATTTTAATTTCTTTTTTCTTTTCTTCTCGTGGCCCACTGCATGCACTGCATGCACTGCATGCATTGCATGCATTGCATGCATTGCATGCACTGCATGCGTTTGCATTGCATGCATTTTGGGGCTTTTTGCATGCGCTGCATGCGTTTTGGGGTTTTGCAAAATAGCCAAAAGGGGCCCCCGCGAGCAGCAAAAGAGAAAGAGCTCTTGATCTGTCTGCTGCTGCTGCTGCTGCTGGTGCTGCTGTTGCTGCTGCTGCTGCTGCTGCTGCTGCTGCGCTGCGGCTGCAGATTTGCCGGACCGTTAAGAAGCAGCAGTTGCTAGCAGCAACCTGAAGGAGAGCAGCAAATGGTTTCCCTTCTCACTTTATTTTTTTCATTGATTTTTTAAATTATTTTTTTAATATATTTTAAACTTTTAATTCTTAATCCTTATATTTAATTTAAAATGAATGAAATTACCTTCTTCAAGCCCTTTGTAGCTCCAAAAATGAAACGAAACTTGAAAATTAGGGTTTAGGGTTTAGGGTTTAGGGTTTAGGGTCTACTTATCAACTGAATAATTAATCAATTAATTACGAATTCAACAAAATAAATAATCAAATTTAATTAATTAATTAATTAATTAATTAAAAATAT